GCGGAAAAAATAATGATACCAATAATGCGTGCCATCTGGCACTCCTATACGTCAACTTGCTGGCAGGTCATCTTTAATAACTAGCGATTCAGAAGACATGAACTGAAGGGGAACCACAACAGAAGGTGATGTGACAATGAACTGAGCCTTTTGCCTTCAGATAACGTCATCAACAACTTATTAAAGGCTCATGCTTCTCAGACGCAGGAGGTCAACGGTGCACCTTGCTCCAATTAAGCCATAAACGAAGAGGAGGCTTATTTGAAAAGCCTCGAGGCTGATCTTAACGATGGAGATGCTGTTGGTGGGAAAATCTAACAAAACCTGGCTATCATAGGGATAAAAAGATAGGGGATCTCCCTCTGTAATGACAAACTTAAAGTTTTGCTAAACAATCATGCTAAACCTGACAGTGGTGAGGGTCAATGTAGAGATCTGGAACCAGTTGACCAATTTTAAACGAAAAAAGGCCTATGGTTTAGTAATATCAACAGGGCCTTACAAAAGGCTGCCTTCGCCATCTTACAATGTTGCGATAATCTCTCCACTAAAACTAACGTGATTAAAGAAACATAGCTCTTATTGGGCACACCACAGGTGAATTATCCCATTTGTGCAGGGAACAAATTAAACCTGCCTTGAAGCTTGAATTTCTTTCATTTTGTACAAGTGTCAATAAATCGGACACACATTTGGATCTCCTCTTTGGTCAAGATTTAGCCAAACAAATTCATGACACCAAAGACACAAGCGGCATTGGCCAAAAGATATGCACGTCCACCAGAGGCATGTAAGGAAACTTTCCTCAGTCCTATCGCCACAGTGATAAAAAGCGCCTTACAAAAGGTATGGCTCAAAAAGTCAACCAAGACGAAGTGATTGCCCCCCTGGATCAGACCTGACCTTCTCACCTACCTTCGTAGAAAATGGGAGAATTTTAGAGCTGGTTGCATTGCCCCCTTTTTGTTCAGTTGGCAATCGCTTACTTCCGACAAGGAAATTTTTTACAACAATAAAAGGGCCACAATTGAGTTCGATGCCCACCCCATTCCTGTAACATCAATCCATTAGAATTTCTCCTTAGACAAAACTGCTATAATGAAAACCAAAATCAAAAAGCCTTTACGAAAGGGTATTATTTAAACAAAGCTTATGTATTTCAGAACTGGCATTGTAATGACATTATCAGTGAGACTTGCCCATCTTTTAAAACATGAAGCTATGGCTTAAGTGAATGTGCCACATGAAAAGAAAAATCCTTCTTCATCCACTTACCCTGTCACTTTGGATCCAGCTACTGATAAAATTGGACCCAGAGCCACTGACGGTTCAACATCCTTTGACCAAGGTGCAAAATCGGAAGCTGTTTCCGAAGATACACAAATGCCTACCGTTTGGCTGGGCCATCAACTCCTGGTGAGGAAGTCATAAACATCCTCTCACCCTTAACATCTGTTACAATGTCTACAATTCAGGAGTCTGAGGAGCCCACTCCAGACAATTCGCCAGCATTTTGTACAGCCTCATCCTCCGTGCATACTAGTACTAGCAGCTGTAAAGGATGCAAACACAAAGAGTACCAAAGAGCAATGCATTCAAAGAAACGGCTAAAGAACAAAGTGAAAAGTCTTAAAAAGGAGCTCTCTGCTTTAAAGGACACCATTAGTGAACTTCAGAGTTTATGTTTTACTAAGTTTGCTACTATATTTCATCATTTTCAATAACTTGAATGTAAAAAAATAATATAACCTCTTCTTGGTTTTGATTTTGTGCATGGCTGAAAAAGAAACAGAGGAAGAAGAAGGAGAATGTGCACAGCCAAGTTTAAGCTCTGCAGCTGAGAGGACTTTACATGGCCAAAACTACTTTACCGGTACATGGTCAAGCAATGGAGAGGAAGAGGAGGATGGTGACGCCTCACAAATTGAAAAGAAACCTTTAATTTTGCAAACGTTACTAAGATGTAAACAACAAGGCTTCTGATATTGCTTGTAGAGCTGAACTTGGTCGCTTTCCTTTTGTTGGCCAAAATTTTAGGAAATTTACGTGTTATTAATATGTTATAATCTGGTTTGAACCCCTGTGAACGCTTAAGTGTGAAGGTAATGCATGTTTTTTGGAATTTTCAATCGCATGAAACTTTTCAAATTGAGAAACTGGCCAGACAACGGCTGTTTATGACCTCCATTTTAACACCATTGAACCTCAGAATAATGAGACTTCTCAAACCTCCCCATTTCTCAAATTGAGGAACTGGCCAAACAACTGCCAAACCAAGAATTGCTCATAACAAAGAGCAAACCCCATTCTGGGAGGATCAATAACTAATGAGGTAAGACAACAGATTACACCTGTTGTTTACACAGACTACCTATCTCAATTGGTCTTAGTTTTTCAGACGGGTGTGTCACGGACCATATAGCCAACTGGAAATTAGTTACTACTGATCCAGTTATTCTTGATTCCATCAGGCATTACCATATAGAATTTGAGGGTGGCTGTAGGCCTTTACAGGCTGATGAGCCTAAACAGATCACATTTTCAGTGGGGGAAAATAGATCATTGATGGGGAGACTGCATAACTCCTCTCCAAAGGAGTTATAGAACCATCGGCTTAACTACAGAATACAGGGCCACTTTTCCAACTATTCTAATTGAAGTGGCTCATTGGCTCGTCAGTCGATTCAAAGGTATATTATTCAAATGGCTCGTTGGCTCGTTAGTCAATTCCAAGGTATATTATTCAAATGGCTCGTTGGCTTGTCAGTCGATTCCAAGGTATATTATTCAAATGGCTCAATGGCTCGTCGGCTCGCCAGTAGATTCCTTGGTCTCACTAGCGAAGTTTCTTCGATTGTTTTGATCTTGCATGTGAGCACTTGTAACTCATAAAAACCTATCGTAAAGCATTTACATTTTATAAATATACGTTTCTGAGACGTATCCGATGGTTCGACAAATATTCTGCGGTAGCAATAAAAGAAGAGAATACTTTGTATAATAGCCCAGTTGTGTCTCATCTTCTCAGCTAGTTAATTATGCTTACAATATCCTTTATAATATCATTCATAAAGCACGGATACAGCGAGACCCGCAAAATTGTATGCATAAGAACTTTCGGGCATTTGAAAATCTTGCCTTGGTGGGTGAGTTCGCAGGTTTACATAACTTTCAACATTTTTAATTATCTTAATGATAACATTTCACTCGCCAACTATGGGCGTGCATGCCAAAGTAGCAAAAATAAATAAATAAAAAACAAAAACAGACAACCTCCATGTTCTAACAATCACTCAAAGTTTTATAGCACTAATCTCTAGAGTCATTAACATCATTTCAAAATGATTATCACAACCATACAGATTTCTTGAACAAAACATTTTTCGGGTGTCTCAGACTACAGCTCAAAACTGAAATAAACCGCAACTTTCTCTAACTTTCATTTCGTAACTCAACTGAGAACAAACTTTTCAAAACATAACTACAAAACAAAAGGTGATTCCGCAACTTTCTCAAACATTCATGAAAAACACTTCGGTTCAAGCTCAACTAAGAAACAAAAAATTGAAAAATGCATGCCAACGAGCCATGTATTTTATGTATGCCTATTTTTCTGACCTTAACTTAATTCGGATTGTATAGAGTTTTTACATCATTTAAAAAAAGCGAATAAGTCTTTTTCTTTGTTTACATGCCGCCAAATAAACTCAGCAAGATAGGAAGAGTACATGTCCTTGCGAGTGCCGAATACAGGCAAACTCACTTTCATGTGCCGCCAGTGACCTTCCATTTTGTTAGTATTATACCCGTCTTTATTTACGAACTCCTTTGAATGGTTCACGGTTTGATGTGAATATCCATGTTTATTTAAGTTGTGGTATGACTTCAAGCAGTCAGAGACAATTAATGTTCCCGGTTCGATCCAGTCTTTTGTGATAGGCAAAAGTGTTGCCTTGCTCCTATCTTCCACTGCCACCAAAAAACATCTCCTTGAATCTTCTTCTATACCGCCAAATACCCATTGTCCTTCAACTCTGTGCCCTCGATGGTATTTCCACTTTCCCACCTTGCTTTCATCAATTTGAACCACTTTCCCTTCACCACCAATCTTTTCACTTTTTTTCTGGATGGTCACTTCACATGTTTTTCTCTGCAAAACATATCCCAGTCGACAGCTGTGTTGGCATTAATGTGCAGCTGTTTCTTTATTTGGCCTTGCGTTAGTCCCTCTGACCACCAGTAGGTGAACTTAATAATCTCTTCCAGGGTAAGATTACTCTGTTCAAACCAACTTCCTTTCCGGATGCTGACTGTACTTTTATGGCGTTTGTTATTCACTCGCTTTCTGCACTCCCACTTGTAACCGTCTGATCGGTCCGTACATTCTACCAGCTCCATGTTTTCACCACAAACGGGGCAGGCGCGTTTGGAGGCGACCATTCCTTCATTCATTAACCATCCGATTAAAGTTTCTCTATTGCAGAGAACTCTGTCTTTCAGCTCATCATACGTCCAGTGCAAAGTACCACCTATTTTTCGCGGATAGCTTCCCTTTCCACTTGAATACTGAGTACCAACTTCTTTCGTGTTACCACTACAACCAACCTGAACACTAATAGTTCGATATACTTTTCCATTGCTTCCACACCGCAACATTTTCGTCTTTGCGCTACTTCAATTTATCTCGGAAATTTCAGTTAACTTGGCCTATGTAACTTTCATTATTAATGAATTAAAATAATACTTAGAAACTTCCATTCATCAAGTTTCAACTAATGCTTCCCTGCTTTCAATATATGACAAAAAGTCTCACCTTTAGATTGGTTCATTTTCAATGAACTAAAAATTTCACAGACATACTAATTAAATCGCTCACTTCAAACGGCGTCACTCGCCGATTTCTTTTGTTTTCAAACAAAACGTTTTGTTTGTAAGTTTCATCCTAATCTCAACGCGTTGCTCTTTCTGCTCATTCGTGTGTTAACGCCAACCAGTTCACAATGTCAAACCCTATCTTGCGTCTTTCTCCTCAAAACGAAGCTACCTGGGCTTCATTTCATCGTCGAGTTTCAGGAATACATTACAATTATGACCAGCTATTTCCTGAGACTGTCTTCCAGTTCTTAGAAGCAAAAGCTAAGTCCGTCGGCAGCTCCATTGGTTATCTGGTGCCATCATTGATGACAGCCACCTCATTTCTCCTCGGAAATACTGACGCCCACTTCCTAAATGGAAATCACATTCAGCCACTAAACCTATACACCATGTCCGTTGGTCATCCAGGAACGGGAAAATCACCTGCCATAGAGACAGTGCTGGCCGCACTTCGAGACGTAGACACCATCTCAAAGGAGACCCTTGTCAGCGCCACAACATCGTCCGGACTTGTGAAAACCATTTCCAAGCAAGGTAAAGCCTTTGTTGTCTCCCCCGAAATATTTGATGTTTTGAACAAACTCCTCAAAAATGACGAAGATAACGCCACTGGTGACGTACAGCTGCTCTGCAAATTATGGAGTGGGGAATCTGCATCCTACCATTTCGCGACAGAGGCTACGCGAGAAATTGAATCAAACACCGCGTTCTCCGATCTTGGGTCAACCCAGATCCAAAATGCAGCGATTCTTATTTTTAGAATGGACAAAGGCCACGGTCTTCTAGATCGCTTCTTAATTACTGTTCCAAACGCGCGAAAGCCGACACCGGAACAAGAAGAAGAAGGAACACATTATCTAGCAGACCTTCCCCTACAAGATTTCGTGCCACTCTTCGCAGCAATCTACGCCGCCCACAAGAACATCACCAGATCCTATACATTGGATCCTGCCGCCGCACAGCTACATAGGCGCCTTAAAACCAATCATGTGAACGCGGTCAACACTGCGATTGAAAATGGAGAAGTACCACCCAAATCTAAAGGAACTGATCTTGTCACAAGAGTTGCTGTGGCATTGAGTACCATTAGCTACTTCATCACTGCCATGTTGGAGGAGGATCAAACACATAGTCCACCAGAGCAAATTACTGAAGATTGATACAAAAAAGCCGTGGATTACGTCGAATATCTACATGCACAGAAAGAAATGTTTGCTGAATTCGTTAAAGCTATTGTTGAGCCTGCTACAGAGAAACCGAGGGCACATCCAATGGAGATGGACATCTCTACCGCCATCATACGCTTTCCAGGACGACTGGTTACCTATCAAGCCTTCAAGAAGTTCAGCCCCCGCTCTTTGAGAAGTGTTCAGAAGCCAGAATATGATCACTGCACCCAAACAGTTAAACGGTATGGCCGTGTTGAAGAAATCCGCGTCCCTCGAAGCGCTCAGAAGGTGCGCGTTTTTATTAAGAAAACAACCGATGAAATTGTCCATTGGCCGGCGGATGCTCCATGCACGCGAGAAGAATATGGAGAACGAATTTCCGAGCCAGTCAACAGGCTTATCACTGAAAATATTAGAACTGCACTTGTCAATGCTGGACATATCACACGCGCGGACATTGCATAAATTGAACTTCACATACGCCTATTGTTTGTGCAATTTTTTCACGCGCACGAGAACATTAAGGAGTTATCAATTCTAATTAAAGAACAGTGTTTATTTCTTTCTCTAATGACAATTTATTAAGGCTGCCGTAGCTTTACATCATCGAACGCTATTACACTCAGCACAATCACGGTGTTGAACGTCTTAGTACTGTAACTAGTACCGTGCATCAATCAAACAACTTTTATTCTCCTTTTATACAATATTGTGGTTTTTATTCGTACAAAGAAAGATTGTACCGTCGGTCTTTTACTTGTAAATAAATATCTTTAATGTTTTCTAACTACATGTCGTTCTTTACATTTCTCCGGGTCCTCCCAAACTGCGAGCCAGCGAGACATGCGAGACACGCGAGCCATCGGCAAAAATAAAGATAAAACAAGTAAAACCTGCAAATTTACAGATTAGGGTTGAGCTTTCATCAGGGTTAAGATTAGGGTTAGGGTTGAGCGCTTTTTAGGGTTAAACACTTATTCACAACAGTTACCTTTCAGTCAATGTTTTCCGTATTACTGTTTTCTTTTTTTTCTTTTTAATGAGTTTTCAATGGCCTGCATGGCTCGCTGTCATGAAAAGGCCAAAATAAAAACAAATACAAAAACAAATAATAGGAAAAAACAAAACAACAAACCCAATATGAAGAGCGACAGGGGGCATCGAACCAGCACCTCTCAAAATGTCAAAGCTACAAGGCAGATGGCTTAACCACTACACCACTGAATCCTAAACACTATAACTGGTGAAAAATAATATATTTTAACCATTTGGCTTTAGATTGTTTGAAGATAGCGTCGTCTCAAGCAAGTGGAGCAGTGAAAGATAGATTTCAGGAAAATCAGCAAGTTTTGACGAAAAATGGCGATACTTGAAGTCATTTCATCGCATTTGAAGAACATATTAACACAGCAGACAAGCTGGAGCAAAATTCTCTACCTCGATTTTAGCTCTCAGGTTTTGAAACTAATGGTCCACATCCCTTCTATTTTCCCCGTAGAATACTTCTAACTCGAAATTTATCGCCAAAACATTCCTTGATCGCCGACTAGCGAGCCGGTGAGCCGCCGAGCCACTAAATCATTTACCTTTCTCGTTCTTCAATCACTGAAAGTGACTGGCGAGCCGGCGAGCCGCTGAGCCCCTAAATCATTTACCTTTCGCGTTCTTTATTCACTGAAAGCGACTGGCGAGCCGCCAAGCCGCCGAGCCACTAAATCATATACCTTTCTCGTTCTTTATTCACTGAAAGCGACTGGCGAACCGACGAGCCACCGAGCCACTAAATCATATACCTTTCTCATTCTTCAATCACTGAAAGCGACTGGCGAGCCGCCGAGCCGCCGAGCCACTAAATCATATACCTTTGTCGTTCTTCAATCACTGAAAGCGACTGGCGAGCCGCCGAGCCACTAAATCATATACCTTTGTCGTTCTTCAATCACTGAAAGCGACTGGCGAGCCGCCGAGCCGCTAACATCTAACGCTCTTACTAGAGTGGCCCTGTATTAGGTAGTTGCTCCAAACCATCTGAGCATCCATCGTTACAAATCATATCTGTTATCATCATTGGGCTTTTAAGAGACTGCCGCAATACCAAATTAAATTTTTTCCCTTGGTGCATGCATCCGAAACCCCAAATGCCAAACAATTCTGGTTTTAATTAAGGCTTTAGTGGTCTTTCCTTGAAAAGAAAAGCTTTTTAGCTTACTTTTGCAGCTGTTTCTCGAAGAGGATTAAGCGCTGTTTACTTTTTCAATTTTTAACCAAACTTCTTCCTTTTTACTTGGATGATATTTTACATTATTAAGTGATACTTGATTATCAGAGTGGCAAAAGGAGTCATATTCCTAGAGATAACGCAGACTGTAAAGCCATTAAACAACTTGCTCTAGGGCAAAATGGATATGCCATAAATGCCTTATACTCAAAACCAACTGTGAGGGATGAATTGCCCCAGAATGTCTGCAGTATTAATGACGAATGTGAGGAGTTGTCCCACCAAGAGCCCATCTGTTTTTACGGGATGTGTCTCCACTGGGACTGAAGCAGTTTGCAGAAACTAATCATGTAGCTGAACTTGCCAACCGAGCTCTTTGTGTTCTATGCTGTCTTGTCTTCTGCAGTTGGAAAAAATCCTTCAATGAAAGAAAACCTTGCTGATGTCTAAGAGCCCAATACAACAGCGAACATGCCAAAATTGTAGCACCAATCAGCATGGCCACCTCCATTCTTCTGTAGTCGAGATGCCCTAAAATGAGTGCACAAGCTTACAGGCTTCAACGGTTTCATGGCACAGTGGAGAAAAGAAACAGGTCAGTTAACCAACATTAATTGATTTAATAGAAACCAAAAGGGAAATCTGTCAACTTACATGTAGGAGACTATTCTTATTTTGTACGTCATATCTTCATTTGAGCAAACACACATCCATATTTTCCCTTGTTGATGAGGGGAATTTAATTGTACAATAGGCTATCTGCTTTTGACACTTAACTAAAATGTCATTTCAATTATTACACCTATATTGACTCTTATTCAAACCCATTATAATGAGAAAAACTTCTTTCCTCATTTTTCTACAGCCACTGTTAAAAAAATTAAGACTTTCATTGTTTTTTTAATGTTTTTTTTTTTTCAGAAGCAGAAGTGGTCAATTTACCATAATTATTTCACTCCTTGTAACGGTTTGTGACCGTGGAATTAAATGGGGACTTGCCGTGAGCCACACTGCTACTATTGACAAAGGGGAACAGCTTGGAAAGTACTATGCTAAAAGATTGTAAAGTGGATAGCTGAACAAGGAAGACAAAAAAATTCAGATGACCCTGGAAACTATATTGGAATGTATAGAAGAAAGTGCAGCTCCCCTGTGTGGTGATTGACTGAAGGCATAGGTTAAACATTGACTACACACCAATTTCAATGAAACTGTCTGATGATTTGTTCAAACAGTTGTCAAATACTCTAACAGGCCCAGTGGTTATCAAATCTTTGGAAACAATGTAGATCTTATGATAAAAGTCCGTCATCAAGCCAGTGACAGGCCACACAAGAGCATCCACTGGTACCACTCCAAGAGACATTATTTGCGGGAATCCCAAGAGCATAGGAGAACAGAGTTCATGCAAGAAACAATCATGTTGTAATTTTGTTTGTATTAAAAGAAGTTAAAATTCGCATTTGGCGACATAGCAGAGTGAGAGGCAACACTGAAAAACCCACTTTACTTCCAGCTAACAGCCTACTGAAAAAACAAAGAAGAAACCGTGAAGAAAAAAAAACGAATATACAAAGCTGCTCGCTCGCACAAATCAACAACAACAGCTGTGAAATATCAGTCTTGACTGAAACTTCTGAATAGATGGCAGAGTTGGGCGCGATAAGAAGACTGATTGGCCCAAGGAAAAGACATGTCACCATTACCCTTGATGTAGCAAGAGATAAAAGGATGTCCTATCGATGGTGATCTAGAACAACTTTTGGATGAAACCCGTGACAAGCAACATCAGCTGCAGCAGCACCTAACTGAGTATCAAAACCTTCACCTACAGCTGGAGGATGCCACTCAAACTGCAGGAAAACAGAATAAATTAGGTTATGAGAGATTATGAAGCATACACTAATCTGGTGTTTGACGCAGGGCAACTCCTTGTAGGATTGAGCTCAAAAATGGAAATGATAAAGGATCGAATGGAATTTAAATTCAGATGAGGCACCATTTAAGTGAACTACTGGAACAGAAGATGATGGAGATAGAACAACAACAGGAAGTAAGTCTGGACATGATACGAGAAATTCGAATGAAACTGCTCCAACCGAATTCCACTTGTGTAGTATGCAGAGGCATTGCAGATTCTGATGAACACAGAAAACGTCTAGGCTACGAATCGAAACATCTCCAAATGTGGGAAAGGCCATTTACACAGATGGACAGTGACATTTTTCAAGAGTTTCGGGAAGCACTCAGAACCTATCTCTTCAAAATCACCAACAACCTAGTAGACAAACCTTTGCATGCAGCTTTAACTTTCTCTATGCCCCAGCCATCTGCCCACATTGATTTTGTGGTTTGATTTACCTCCAACCCCAGCAGTTTTCTGTTACCACCTTTACAGACTCAAAGATATCCTGCTCGGTTTCCCTGCTCAGTATCTCGCAGTTAGCTTTGTGGTTTTAACTTTGAAAGTTTATTTAGATGCTTCGGGTTATACACCTCTGTCACAAACAGTAAAGGTTTATCCACCCTGGTCACAACCCTTGCTCATCGACGATTCGTCTGCAGTTTTCTATAATGAACACCAAGCCTTAGGGAACGAATGATCCCACAGAACAAATTGAGCAATGGCTTTGTGCTGAAAAAGCTTTACTTTACAAAAATAGAAGGTTGAGGTGATGATGATGCTGTGTTTACGCAAAAAGGGATCGCAGATCAGGATGGGGAGTAGATTTCTGGGAATTATTGGGCAAATTAAAAAAGTTCTTGAACACAA